TCGTGTCCTTTGGGAGTCTCGGCCTGAGACAGGGATGCCAGACACCAGCCTGGAGGGAGGGCACTGGCTGAGGCGTCAGAGGGGCATCTGTCTGAAATAGGCTGGCCAGCGCATACGGGGCCGTGCCTAGCAAAGAGGAGGGCAAGGAGGGGCCGACCGATGCACCTTTGGCATGGGGGGCTTGGCGTACTGTGCTCTCAAATATTCAGAGTTCAGCATTAGCTGTGCTGAGCATGGGATTTCGATATGCTGAAACGTATTTCAGCTGCAGCAGTCAAATACACTCTTGATGCAGCACACGTGCAGTGGGGCATAGGAAGGAAAGTTTCTCTTGTGCTGTCTAGCGTCACTTGGCCCTGGAAAGGGACCTGGGCAAGAGATGTGATTAATCTGTGAATGCTGGAGCAAACAACAGCTAATGCATTTCATAGGAGGTGCAAGGGAGCCAAACAGCAATGCTTTTGCACAACTTTTTAAATAAGTGATTTATATCTTTAATATTTTTGTAGGCATTTTCAATTTATATATTCTTTATATGCTGTTTTAAAACCCCTTCTAATGAAGATCAATAGATTCCTTTGGGCCAGTATTTCTGCAGCAGGTTGGTTTGCTATGAGGCATTAAAAAAGAAAATGGAAAAAAACCTGCAGAGCACCTGCAGATTGCACCTTGTCTCAGTTCATTTATATTCAGCTGGCTATATTTTAATGAGCTGTCAATTAAAGAAAACAAAATCAAATAGGTATGGGCTGTAGAAGGAAACCTTGGAAGGTGCTGGCCCCCTCTTCAGCCGTGTTAATGCCTGGACGTGGGGTATATGATAAATGGGTGCATGAGGGCTAGAGCAGGTGTAGGATGTCAGAGAGTCAGGCCTGAACATGAGTGAGGCATCAGGAACAGGCATGACTTTTCCTTCCTCATTTCAAGTCTCTTGTCTAAAGCAGGTGAAGAACTAAAAGATTTAAAACCAATATCTTCAAGCTTTCAAGAGCCAGAAAGCATTTCATTTCATTGGGAAAGATGTTTGAGGCTCAATTAATTTGCTTTAAAAGGTCCCAGGCTGACCGTTCAGGTACGGAAAACGCAGGCCCTTATTTGCTGTGATTCCTGAACACCAAGCTCAATCTCTTCTCGTTTTACACCTTGCCCAGACCTGAAGGGGTTACGTTTTAAAAATGAATAATGACTAAATTTATTCGTCATGGACAAATGATGACAGCTGTTGAGATGCTCCTGTTAGCGCTTCCCAGGGGATAAAGTCAGGCTGGTTCCCAGCGCAGCCAGCCCCGCACGCCAGAGCCGGCTCGTCGTCACCACGGATTATTCGCACCCCTCGCTAGCAGGGAATTTCCTTCCGAGAAGTGACCTGAAGTTTCCTGGGCTGACATGGAGCTCGATGTGCATCGTGCAGAGCCTCAGTGGTGTAGACAGGACTGACGCCGTGGCTGTTTAAGTCCCCGTGTGAAGACAGGCTGCTTAATGAATACGAGGGGCGATGATTGATTAGATCCTGGGCTGCAAGCCGCAGCTCTCCGTGAGGCACTCTTACATCTGGGCACGCTATGGAAAATATGAAGGAATGTTGAGGAAGCTTATTTGCAAGAGGATATGTACCTGTAAGCAATTCTTTTTATTTTTTTTTTCTTCTCAAATATGGTAAAAGAATTGGAAGGGGGGGGAAAAATGTGCGCGCTGTTTCTCTAAGAGAAAGCAGATTAGTGAGCAGACAAAGCCCTTTTACAAGAGCTCCTCTCTGGTGGCGAAGGCTCTGTGTCTCTCATAAATGATCGCGGCAGGGGGAATTGTAGGATGGGAGCATATTAGAGGTTATTTAATGTTAGGATGTGGTGCTGATTTCTCTCCACGCCTTTTATGGAGTCTGGGCACTTAAACCCATGTTGAATTTGGCACCTCGTGATTTGCAGATGAGCTGCAAAAAAAAAAAAAAAAAAGATGATCCTAGTTCAAATAATTACTGTGATCAGAAGCCGATGATTGGGGGGAAAGCCTTTTAATGATGATGTGTTGTCGTTTGTTTTTCCTCTAATTTTCTGAACTCCGTGTTGGGTTTCTTTCTGTTCTTTGTTTCTCTTTCTGTGCGACGCACGTGCTGCTGGAAGGCTTGATGTGCAGCCCTGCATGTGCCTGTGGGCTTTCTGTGCAGCTTCTGCACCGGGAAATGCTGTTTGGTTGTTGAAGGATGTTCTAATTAGATAAATACTTATTTTTAAAGCTTATTTTGCAGACTTTTAATAGAAAGACATAACTAAACTTAAACATATTCTGGGAGGGGTGTGGTGGGTTTTTTTTTGCTCACTAATACACAGCTTACACTGAAATGATAGCAGATTTAATTACGACAATGTTATAAAAATCAAGTGCTATATCTTTTCTAATTTCTTTTTATTATATGAAATAGCAAACCACTCCCTTTCCTGCCTTTGATGGGATGAGTTTTTAAAAATGCAGATAGAGGATTCGAGTTAAATAAAGCACCCTTTAGCCTGTAATGAGGCTGATGCAGAACTTTGTTACCAGATGAAAGTGATTTTGAAGTATAAAATATTTGCTGTTCTGAATATGATGATGACTTGCTCTTGGCTGGTATTACCTATGGCAAGGATTTGCTTAATAGAGAACACAGGCTTTTGAAATAAACGTATCTGAGCTGAATTTTTCCCAAAGTTTTTCTGTTGGAGATCTGCACAAGTTGATCCACTTCACTTAAAACCTCTGCTAGAGGTTTTGGGAGTTACAGGTTTTGAAGTGCCTTGTAATCCACCTGTGTAATTCCTACTGAGGAACATTCTGAATTAATTCCTGCTTGAACTAGAGTGTATCTGTTTGGAAAACCAAATCAGAAGAACGCTCTGCTATAGAAGCCATCTCTTTGATAGTGGTTCCTGTGATTAATTGCACAAAATCTTTTCTTTAAAGAAAAGGCAATTAACTTTGCAAACTTAAAGTTTGGTCTCTGGTTTCAATTTCAGACATGTTGCTTGTTGTTTATTTTCTATTAGCTACAAAAACAATCATATTGAAAAACTACACTAATAAAGCTTTATTTGCTATGTTAACACAGAATATAATCAAGCAACTTGTTAAGCCTCTTGTCAGGCTAAATAAATTCCCCTGAAGGGAACTTTAATTTAATTAAAATCATATTTTCCAATCCTTTAATCATTCTCATGGCCCTTCTCTGAGCTCTCTTCAAATTATCCATCTTATTTTTGAATTACATATGTCAGAACAGAACATTACCAGTGTCAAACAGGAGGGCAGTACAATCTCCACGGCCAGTTTAGGGTGCTGTGTTAAGGACAGATCCTGCATCATAGTACAGCTTATTTTCCTTAGCTATGTGACCTTAAAATTTTTCTGATGTTAAAGTTCACACATTTTCATGTCTTGTTGTTTTCCCTGAGCAACAGTCAGAGACACTTGGAACTAACTTGCTTTTTCTTTTCCTTTAGATGTTATTTATTTATTTTTAGTCTCTTCCATATTTCAGCCCTCCTTGAATAAGAAAATTAATGGTGTAGAGATGTCCTCAGCCTTCTGCCTTAAATTGTTGGGTGCTGTTTATTTCAGTGTTGTGCTTTGACTGGACTATGCTATCATGTGTGTATTGGAAATGTGTTTTTTGATCTGCAGCAATTTTGTGTTTACCTATTAATGAGCCAGTAGCATTTTGGGGAGAGGAAAAAAATCAAGGCTCCTAGGCCCAAATTTTTTCCATTTTTCCACCTGTTTTTTCCTTCTTTTTAGATTTTCCCTTGTATATTCCAGAAGAACATGTCTTTGGTAGTATTATTTGCTTGCTTTGAGTTCAGAGTATCACATTTCATTCATTAGTGTCCATCTAGGAGCCTGTGTTTGGGCTCAGACTTTCCCAGGTGCTTTCCTGAATAAAGATGGAATGAATCGCTTGCTGGATGACATTTTTCAAAGGAAAGATTTCTGAAGCAGATGGTGGGTAGATAGCTTCCTTGGATTGCATGGATGGATATAGGCATGGATGGAGCAGGTCTTAAATCTTCAATGAAGTGTCTGTGTTGAGAAGCTATTGGATGGGAACTGCAGTGATTTTTCTAGCCTTAATAAATTATGTACAGAATCTATATCAGCTGTCCAAATATTTGTCACCTTTCAACCTAAGGCCATTTTTAAAGTGGGTCAGCTAAGCTGTGTAAAATTGCAATATAAGCCATCTTCTGGAATTGAAGTGACCTTCACTGAGAAACAAAGTGAATGTAATTCATTTTAGGTTAATTTATGTTCACATTTGAAAGTAGAGACTACAATTCCCTTTGGATATACACAAAGGTCTTAGAATGTTTTAATTCACTTAATACTTCCTTTCTATGGATTTGAGGTAGTTTTTTTTTTTTTTTTTTTCTTACAGACAAACTGTGGAGATCATGTAAAATGGATTTGTAGCCCTGAGGCTCTCTGATTAATATCTGTTTATCAGCAGCATGGGTGTTGCAGTGTGATCTTTCATGTGTTGGTCTGCCTGTTCTGTGTTGTGCAGGCAGGGTGTGCAAGGGCAGCCTGTCCCTTCTGACCCTCCTGCTTTTGGATCCTTCAGATGAGTTTCACAACAACTTGCTTGTGTTCTTGGTTGACCGCAGCCTATGACAAGATAACTTTCAAACAGGAGTAAACATAAGAGATTAATACTTCGGATGCCTAACATATCACCTGTGCTTTGTATCTTTCTGCTGTAAACCTGTAACTTATTCTTTTTATCTGGAAGCCTTCACGAAAGATTTAAAATATTGTGGCTGCAGTAGCAAAGGATTGGGCTCGATGTTCAGGAACAAACAGTCATTCCTCAATAACTGGATTTTTAGCATGAAGAAGCTGCTGAGATAAGAACTGGCAGAGCTGTGCTGTACATCGCTACAACACACAGTGTGCTTGCTGTCAGGTGGACGTGCTGCTTGGGGAGTCTTTGCTTCATCAGACTTACAGTTGAATATGATTTTCTTTGGCAGATAAAAATTTCGATGATGAAGACTCCGTGGATGGGAACAGACCTTCCTCAGCCAGCTCCTCTACATCCTCAAAGGCCCCTTCAAATTCCCGCAGAGTTGGCATGGGGACTGCCCGCAGACTTGGGTCTGCAGCTCTGGGCTCTAAGCCTTCAAGTAAGGAAGTGGGATATATAAATTGCTTTTATGTATTTATAGTGCTCAAGTATGAGCTTATTTCAAGTCTTTTAAAGATATTTAGTATTCAGACTGGCTTCCAAGATCCACTGACAAATTTTCCCCTATGAGATTGTTGCCTGAATGCCACAGACATGTTTTGGTTGAGTTAATCTGCAACTGTTCCCTGTACTGCCACAGTCACCTCTGCACCTGAAGCTGGTTGCGCAAGCTGAAGTTGAACATGTAGCTTTTACCAGTCTAACACTGGCAGATGGGTTTTCTTTTAAGACCTTTCAGCTTTTCTGTACTGAAAATCTAAAAAGAAAACAGCACTATTTCTGAATATGAGCAACTCTTCTAAATGGGATTATAAAACACTTTCTTAGAAATGAAAGAAGTTCCCTTTGTCAGACAGTCTCCATCTGATTAGTATTCCAGAGACTATTTCTTGTCCTTATCGTTCGTCTGTTTGTACAACTGTCAGGAGATGTGCACCTTCATCTATTATAGATAGGATTAAATCCTTTAAAATAAAATCTCCCTTCATAATTAAATATTCCCTTTCATCTATCAGACTGGATCCCTTAACTGTTGAGTGACTTCTTTAGTGTTGTGCCTCTGTGCCTGGGGTTGGAGGGCACCAGGAATGTGCAGTCTGTGCCTGGTGTTGAATTTCCCTATGTCTGTTTTCATTACATTTGCAGCCTCTGAGGCTGCGTGGGTAGTGAACTCTCTTCTGATTAGGTGTCTTGGTAGCTGGTGGTTTCTTAATTGATTTTTTTTTCTTGGTAAGAAGATTGAAAAGGCTTTTTCATTTGTCAGCAGCCAAAGAGGGAGCAGGTGCTGTGGATGAGGAAGACTTCATTAAAGCATTTGAAGATGTCCCAACAGTTCAGGTAAGTAGAAATGTAGGTTTAAACATGCTAAACTAGACAGTGGAGGTGAATATAGGATCTAGGCCTAATCTGCCATATTACCCTTCAGTGCTGGCAAACCCTTCTTAAGGGCAAGGTAAGCTTGCTCTTTGGGGCAACTGAGCAACACATGTACCCACTCATGAGCTTCTGTAGTTCAGAGGGGAACACTAACCTCGTATGTTGTTGTGTGTTATATGCATCATTTTGGTGAATCTGCTTTTAATTTATTTAACTTCACTGCTTAGCCGCCTTCTGTGCACCCATGTAGTGGGGCCCTGTTTTATTAGTGAGAAAACTCTTACCTTCTGCAGACTTTATAAGCCACTGTAGAGTTAAGATGTCAGAATCTTGCTTTTATGAAAAAAATGATACAGAGTTTTCAGAAGTTGGTACGTCATGATTGGTGAGTAGCTCTGGAAGTGTAGCTAGCTGTGCTGCAGAGCAGGAGTTTTGCTTATGAACTGTGCATGTGGTGCAGATGTCGATTATATATTGGATTTTATTTTATTTTTTTAAGACTAGAAGTATGCTTCTTCAAATTATGAAGCCACAGGAAAATAATACAAGATGATCTTTTAAGATGATCTTACTGTTTTTTGATTGTGGGAAATGTGTTCACTAGCCTTGGTGGACAATGCTGATTGGCATGTGATAGTTAAGAATTGAGAGGCAAAGGGATATAATATAGCTGGGGAACAATCTCATTACCTGAAGCACATTGTGCATCTTGATGCTACTTTGTGTTTAAATTTACAGATCTATTCCAGCCGAGATCTTGAAGAATCCATAAACAAAATAAGAGAGATATTGTCAGATGATAAGCATGATTGGGAACAGAGAGTGTCTGCTGTAAGTAGTTAACCTGCATATTACCTCTCTTAATATAACGTTTTCTTGCACTAAATTTATACCTATGCAGGGGGGGATCGCCATGTAAGACTTGAGTCTAATTTAAGTTGTGAAAATGTGTTATGTTGCCACATGCTAAGAGAGGACAAAACTTGCTGAAGTGGCAGAAATTCCTTGTGGTGATAGGGAAGTCATTCCCACTTCCGCAAAGGGAAATACAGAACAGCTCAGTCGTATTTATTTAATAAACAGATAAGAGTATGTAAATTCCATGTGGGGAGCAAGGTAGCAGGAAATCAAGCGTGTTGCATGCATGCCAAGCTTCAGTCTTATGTACAGAGATGAGTTGTGTTTCAGTGGTATAAATTGCTCCAGTGCCTTGCCCGTGCTGTTGACTTTCATCACGGGTATATCAACTGTGACATGCTTGTCAAATCACATATTACAGATGTAAATAGTAAATTGTGCTGATTCAGCTTGCTTCCGTTTTGTTTGCTGAACTGAATAAAAGGGAGCTTTGGATCCCCCAGTACACATGGGGGCCTGTGGAGGTGTCCAAAAGGGCACCTCTCGGATGAAATGGAGTTGCCATTAATATTAAATAGAAATCCTGCCATTTTGATGAGGTTAGGATTCAATTTCTAGTGGAATAACATAATTACTTTAATGAAGTCAGCAGAGCCTGTGTGATTAAAATCTGAGTATGAAGCTCGGCTGTGAAGTCCAGCCATCTTGTCGTTAAGACATCTGAGAGAAGCGAGGTTTTCGCAAGATGTTACAATGCTATAAATAAATGGACGTTGTATAGAGGAGACTCTCTGAAATGTTTTTCTCAAAAAAAAAGTACAGTTTTCGTTAATAGTGCAATTAGATTAAACAAGTATAATATTTTTGGAATCCTATAATACTTACTACTAACATACTAATACCACAGTACCTTTCAGTACATTAATCCTGAGCTGAACATAAGATCTGAAACTGCCTTGGTACAGGGCCTTGGAAAACAAGTGTCAGTCCTGAACATAGCTGTGCTTGTGTTCAGTGCTCATTATCTGTCTCTGTTTTGTCTTGGGGTGCTAACAGCTGAAGAAGATCCGCTCCTTACTGTTGGCTGGCGCTGCAGAGTATGACAACTTCTTCCAGCACTTACGACTTTTGGATGGAGCATTTAAATTATCCGCTAAAGACCTGCGATCTCAAGTAGTGCGAGAAGCTTGTATCACGTTGGGGTAAGCTTACTTTTTAAACAAGCTTGTAATACGGTATAGAAAAATGGAACAACTCCTGATTAAACCATATGTAGGATGCAACTGTGTTTTTCTGTTATAGTAGAACTGTGTAAATAAAGTTGGAATGGTGCGGAAGTTTTTGTTTGATTGTTTTCTTTTTTTCTTTTTTTTTTTCCCACATTCATTTAAAACTACTTGCATAGGCCACCGATTAAAGTTGTGTGAGCCTGTGCTTGAGTTTTAAATTAAGATGATGAAGGATGCAATGAATGAGCAAGCCATGACTTCAGACATTAAAATTACAAACCTTCATGCATATTTTGGATCAAATGCTGATCTCATTGGGCCTATGTTCAACTGGAATTGCTTTGTTAATTTTTGATTAAATTTAGCTATCATAATCCCAGAACTGTATGAGTGATTCACACACAAAATGATGACTACAGAAATAGGCTTGTCAAGTGCATTGTTTTGAGCGTTCCACTTTTTTAATAGAAGAGAGTGGAGAGAAAAATCTTTTTATCACAGATTCAGGTATGTAGAGCAGATGTACTAGACTCTCTGCAATGTGTTCTCTGAAATCACACCTGGAGTCAGCCAAATGAGGAGGGGAAACTCGGGCTGCAGAACTGAGCACTTGGTTGTACCAGTTGCTGCCAAAATCAAATGTGCTGGCAGGGTTGCACGTGGCGTTGTGGAATAAGCTGAGTGCTACGGGTGTCTCATCTCTCCAGTTCAATGAGTTTTCTGCATAAGTCTTGTGTAGAGAGCACCGGGCTGAGTAGTGATGCGTTGTTGCTACCGATGTACAGGAATAAATATGCTCACCCAATTAGTGATTCTCCTCTGGCTCCGGAGAGCTATTTAAGTTAAGCTATCGCTGAATGTGCCATGAGTCTACGACTACATCTATGTTTTAATGCTCGGCTAAGTAGGATCATCTCTGAAATTAGGCCAGGTAAGTGCTGCGACTGGGCCACCTAAGATCTTATCAAATTAGACATGCAGTTGGAAACTATTAGAATCCAGTTGTCGCTGTAATCCATGGCTGTACTTACTCTGAATTCACTGAGGCCAGGATTTTACAGAAGTCTGCAGTAAAACACTAGCACCTAGATGATGTGAGCCATCTGAGTCATCTTTCTGCTCAGGTAAACCCTGGTGTTCTCATTTCGGGGACTGAAAATTTTAATCAAAATAAAACACTAAAGAATCAAACACCTAGTAATTACTTTACTTTTGATTGTAATATATTTCCTAAAATGCAAACAGAAACATTGATTGGGGACAGAAGGAAGGATATTCCTGAGGCTGCAAAACAGAATAGGAAATATCTGCCTTAGAAACACTTGTCTTTGATCTGACTTCTGATTAAACTGAAGTACCAGTGCATCAGTTTCTCTGGTCATGCCTGCACCTTCTGTCCAGCAGTAATTATTAGGCCATGAGTAGTGGAAGTCTGAATGAAATGCATTTATCCAGCTTTTGGTTTTGATCATTTGTTCTGTGCTGCTATATGAAATGCTCTGAGAGTAAGTGCACTCCACTGTTTTTAACAGCACTTTTGGAAATTCATGCATATTTCCATAAAGTAGTTTTAGAGAAACTATGATATAAAATAATGATTTCAGAAAAATAGTATTAAATGTCCCATTGGTTTGTTGGTAAACCTTAGCTGTGCTAGTTGCAGCTTTTGCTTTAAGTCCAACTTCTCACATTTCAGGTAGGCATAAAACATAGAATAACAATTTGAAATTAACATTAAAAAGATGTGTTAATGAAATATGTCATTCTCTGTCTTTTTTTCAAGACGGAGAGCTAGTTTTGCAAAGAGCTAGATGTCAAATGTTATGCAGAATTCTGACTCAGTTAATTCTAGCATGACTTCATTCTGTTTTTCAGACATTTGTCATCAGTTTTGGGAAACAAGTTTGACCATGGGGCAGAAGCCATCATGCCAACAATTTTTAATCTAATTCCCAACAGTGCCAAAGTCATGGCCACTTCTGGTGTTGTAGCAGTTAGATTAATTATTCGAGTAAGTATACATCAAAAGAGAACAAAATGTTATTACTTCCAGATACTGAAAAGTTTCTGGGACTTGTGGGGAAAAATGAATGTAACTCCAAGGAAAATTACATTGTGTTGTAAAGGAAACTTTAGGAACTCCAAGGAAAATTGACTTGTGTTAAGCTTGGCTACCTCAGATGTTACGTGGTCTTTTCTAGATGTTACTGGTAATGAGTCCTGTAAAAATAGAAAAATTCATAGAAGCAGTAGAAAATTTTTCTTTACAAAATCAGATTTTTCAACTGCCCAAAGAGCTGAGTGACCTTTTTCTTTCTTGCATCAGTTTTAAATCTGTTTTGCAGGAGAGCCCCATCTCTTTCCTGTGTTTTAAAATTAGCTACAGACAGTTACCACTGCCTGAAACCATCATGAGCACAGACACCTCCATTAGGAGGACAGAGTCCTGCTGGTCTGCCTAGTGATTCGTTGGGGAAACTCTGGATTGCTTGACATCCCTTGAGGGGTTTAGTTCCTCCTGTAGTGACTTTCAGCACTTTGGCTTGCTGGAGCCTGTCATAATAGAAGAAAACAAATGTGAAGTCTATGCTTGTTAAAATATTCCTTTATTTCAAAGCTCTGATTTAAAGAATTGTATGAAACCAAGTATTTACATACTGGAGGAAATAGCCTTTCATTCCATTGAATTGTGGTGTAAAGCTTTTTTCCTGTTTTTTTGTTTTTGTTCTAGCATACGCATATCCCTCGATTAATACCCATCATAACAAGTAATTGTACCTCCAAGTCTGTCGCTGTTAGAAGGTGAGCATTTGGTTTGAATTTCTTGTTTAGCAGTAGCTAGGTTCACATATAATTTTGGTAACACTCATATTTTAGTCATTAGTTTCTTCTCAGCACTGCAGAAAGAAAAACAAACTTTTCCTTAAAGATGATTTTTGATTACATGTTATAATTGTGTCTTATTGTTGTAGCTTCCTTCAAGCTATCTTCTAGTCTTGCTCCTACTAACTAACTTTTATAGCTTATGATTTATACTATAAGTCATATTCTGCAATATTTTGTTGTCTGGAAGTTGGACTAGATGTTCTAATGATTCTTTCTGATCTTAAAATCTAAGTGTGCCCTGGTTGGGCTAACCTCCCTGGGAGATTTCTGCCTATGCTCTGCAGATCAGTTCTGTTGTAGTCTGAGCAGGAGGTCTTTGTGCTTGGTGACTTCTGTCAGACACAGGTCGCATAGAATAATTTTGTCTTAGCCTCCTGAAATGAGGAAGGGAGGTAAATCTGAAGAGGTATGCCTTCATATGAAGCTAATGTGAAGCTTCCATGTGAAGCTTCAGCAAACAGGTACAAAGTGTTGTTAATTTGGATCTTTTGTTCTGTTCAGTGAAAAAGGAGCTTTTCAGATTGTTTTGTTCTGTCAACTCCCTCTTCAGACTTCTGTTTGAGCGAGGACACTCTAATTATTTCGGGCTGTTTATTGATGGCAATTGCAGAGAGGTAGTATTTTTGGGGAGACCTTATTAAATTCTGTAATGTTCAGTAAACCTCCATAGTGAGAGATGATTGTGCTGTGGCAGGTGTGGTGAAATCACTGTGCTTCTGCTGACTTCGGTGTTTCTCCTGCTTCCTTTCTCAGGCGCTGTTTTGAATTTTTAGACTTGCTGTTACAGGAATGGCAAACTCACTCCCTAGAAAGGTAGGCTCTAAAAACAATTCAGTGGGTTAATTCTCTCCTAAAGTCTGGGGAAGTTGGGCCAACAGAGTGATACAGATCCTTAAAGAATGATCCAGTGGGTGGGATCCGATATGTTTTTGTGGAGAAAAGGCACATCTTGGACATCTGGCTGAATGCATCCTTAAACTTGCATTTTCCTTTTATACCAATATGTGAAGCAACATGTGGTAACCTTCACCTCATCTAGCAGGACTGCTT